GTAGATCATGATGAAATATTTAAATATTTTAGCCTATACTGTACAGTAGATGAATCCGACAACTTCCGGTTTACTTTATGACCTACTTGACAATCATATCAGCCTGTTTAGCCCATAAGGTAAGTTTTAAAGCAAAATATGTTATGCATTTGATGAATAATAATAGTTTATTTATTGATGTAAATTCGTTCCCGAATCGTTAATAATTTCGAAGTAATTTGAGAGATCTCGAGTCTTTCGTCACCAAGACATTTCGACCCTACTGTAGCCTAGTGTCAATTTTTGGACTGCAAAACCGACAGATTTTACAAATTGATATTACACAGATGTCTGCCTTAACAGAAAAAAACCGGCATATACGCCTACAATTTGTTGGTCTTGTTCATGTTTATACATTAAGTTATTCAATGAATAATGGGATTATATGAAAGATTAGAAAAAATGATTTAAACCTCAATATAAGCCATTTAGCTGTTAAGTTTAGCCCCTGCAAATACTGCAGGTCTTGTGTAATTGAGACATTAGAGGTAGAAGCACTGTCCTATTATTTCTGACTAAACTCTTATTGTCATTCAATGAATAATGGGATTCTATGAAAGATTAGAAAAAAATGATTTAACCCTCAATATAAGCAATTTAGCTGTTAAGTTTAGCCCCTGCAAATACTGCAGGTCTTGTGTAATTGAGACATTAGAGGTAGACGCACTGTCCTATTATTTCTGACTAAACTCTTATTGATTACTAATTGATTGTTCATACCCACACATGACAAACGAGCATTATTGTCATTTTTTACTTTACCCTCAACACCTGGCGTTTCCCTTTTTAAGAGCCGAATAAAGGCTGTTTAACCTAGCCCAAAAAGGTATATTTTCCCCTGAAAATGCTAATATTTTCCCCTAAAACCCGTGTGCATATTCTTCACCAGAACGATGACTTAACATCAGCTGACTTATATCAGGTAGAAAACAGAAAGCTGTCCCTTTCGATAGCCTCTGCTATTACCATGCATGTTAAAGGAACTCCACTGAGGTATAAAAGCCTAAAAACATAACATTTGAATTTTTTACATAAATGAGCTTTGACACTTTAAACAGAAATATTTGCAAAGATAGTTAAGAAATATACTTTGAAATAAATTGAACGTATTTTTATGCTTTTTTAGCCCGATTTGAGTGAAAAGCGTTTGAACGCTTTTCATTATAGGTCATTTTTTTACCATTTGAATAATTATTCTGGAAAAACAAAGTGTGCGAATGATCCGAAAGTTTGCACAAAGATTAGTGGTCTAAACTTACATCAAATGGTACATTTATCTGGAAAAAATATTTTCAGTCCCATCATGTCAAAATACCTCAGTGGAATCCCTTTAAATTTAATTAGAATTGAATTTTTTCTTAAATGTATGGATAAATTCCATTCTCAGTGGTTGGAATTTGATTTCCCCTTTTCTGATTTATCAAGCTTTATTTTCCCCTTGAGAAAGCCACAGGTTGTTTTGAAAATTGAAAAAAGAAATCACTGCCATCATGATAATTGTTAACCTGAAAAATCTTCAGGCACTGAAAGGGATTTGAACCCCAGACCTCTTTATTATAAGGCAGACACACAACCAAGTTGCCAAAATGTCAACACAACAGCAAGGCTGTTGGAAATGATTTATACCTTTTCTCACTACATCACTGTTGTACAGCGTTCACCGGATATAGCCCCTAAAACACAGAAAACGAAAGTAGAAAGCTGCACACCAAGTACACCCAAGGTAATGTTTTAACTTATTTCTTCATCATAACTTCATCGATTTTTTCCAAACTAAACAATTTTGTGAAGCTAAATGTTTCTAGTTTTAGAGCAATATTTGCTTTTGTTTGCAAAGTGAATACTTTTTGTTCACTTGGCGATAAAATGTAGCGTATTTGTTGACATGTGCGAAAGATGTTGATATTTACCACTAAATCAAGCCCAAAACGCATTTGCTGTATCAAAATTCGCTGTTTAACACAAACTATAGTAATCCCTCTACTTATATTGAGTTTCCACCCTTCCCGAGCTGCTTTTAACAAAAATTGCAAAAATCGGCATTGCCTTGTGTACAGAGTCTAGGAAAGAAAACAAATTTAAGTGAACGGGGTGTAGTAGTTTAATGTACAGGGTTTAGTAGATTTGTACGGTGTCTAGCAGTCACATATTTTTTAAAGTATAGTCTTTTATATTATTTTTAATCGGAAATAATCTCATTTCAGACTAAACATCGATAAATTAGAGGACGATACAGAGTTATTTGGTAAATAATTTAACTTTTTAGTTTTTTTGAGCCTAAAATATAACTACATTTAATTCTTATTGTCAGATCATCACAACCATAAGATGAATAGTGTATGTCGGTATTTATAAGACATGTTGAGGAGTCTTCTGACCAACTCGCTATATTGAAATGGTCCGAATGGGATTTATATAATTTTTTTATATATATACAGACTGAAGCAACACCTTGCGGATTGTTGAAGTTTCAAACATTTCTACTAAACGTGGCGAATAGTTCTGTTCCTGTGTTAATCAATGGAATAAGAGTTCATTTGTATTAGTAATATTATTATTTATAAAATATGTAATTCCTTATTCATGCAAAGAATAAATATTTATCGAAAAATAATGCGTTGTCTTCTTTCTTGTTTTCTTTTATTCTTGATAGTAGAATTTGATCTTTGAAAACACTCTGACAATCATGGAAGTTCTCGTTTGATTTAAATGTCTTCCTTTTCATGACACAGTTCTCGTTATGAGTTATATATATTTAAAAATTCATAAATAAAAAATATACAAATAGATAAATAATAAATAGATAAATTTAAAACAAACAAACAAAAAAGAAACAAAGAAAGAAACAAAGAAATAGCAAATCCGACAGTTTTAACTAAAACATATAAAAATATTTCCCTTTTCAATGCAATCCCTGTTAAAATGCGTACTTATTTTACATGTTATTATAAAAGAAAGAAAAAGAAAAAAAAAAGAAATAGCAAATCCAACAGTTTTAACTTAAACATAAAAATATTTCCTTTTCAATGCAATCCCTGTTATAATGCGTACTTATTTCACATGTTATTATAAAGAATCACTGAAGCGGAAAAATAAGACAAAAAAAGAATTTACACAATTTTGTAATTATTTAAATAACAAATAGGAACGAATGCTTTGCTTATTGAGTTTATTTCATGGAGAGAGGGTAATGTTAATATAAATAACACAGCCGAGATTAACAGTATTTTTACGTGCTGTTGCTCACAAACCGATGTCATTTATTTTATTACCCCGAACAAATACTTCATTGGGACAATGTTTCCAAAGATTTTTTATTATTCGGATTTTACTAGGTACTGTTATTTATGTAACAGTACAGAATTTTAGTAACACGTAGTCCTAATTATAAGACCTATAACGATCGTAACCTATTTCATATTTATCTTATATTAATCTGATATTTTACATTTTTCATTAATTAGTAATGATTTGAAAGAAATTGAATATCCTATGAAAGATTAATGTAAAATGAACATGCAAAAGCAAACTGAAATTAAATTTGTCACCGTACATAGGAGATATGTCCATTTGAATGTCACCACTGCCATGATTATTTTTATACCCCCCACAAAGTGGGGGAGCATATAGCTTTGCACTTGTCCGTCCGTCCGTACGTCTGTCCGTCCGTATGTCTGTCCGTACGTCCCGAAATCTTGTGAACGCAACTCCTCTTAAACCGGATGGCAGATTTTGCTTAAACTTCCAGGGATGAACAACCTTAATGTGTAGATGGCAGTAAAGAAAGGAATTTTTGCTGCAACCAAATTTAACAGAATTATGGCAACTCCTCTTAAACCGGATGGCAGATTTTAATAAAAAGTTCCACATAAAAATCTTACATACAGATATGCATGCTCTTGTTTACGAGCACATCTGCACAGTGGGGGCATCCGTGTCATTTGGACACAGCTAGTTCTAGTTTTAATCTATAATCCAAATGCAACTTATTAACATATTTCTTTTGGGCATAAATGTATATTTATAACACAGGGAAAAAACATTTCGTCTACCGTTGATGCATAAATTGTATTGCACCAACATGTATAGTTTAAATTTGGCTGACAATGGATGGAATCAACAGTGATGAAAATTTAATCCGCGTTGCAACCAATATAGAAGTGATTTTGCAACTGTTAGTTTGGTGATAATATAAACGTTTACTTTTCATTGCATTGCTCATATTTTAACATGAAATTCGTTACTTTTATAAATTTGATTTATGCTACGTCTTTTTGATACAATCCGTTTAGACGTTTAAAAAACCCTTGATAATATAAAATGTCACAATGATAAATATAAAATGTTAAATAACTTTTTTCACGGCTAATTATTTGGACTAAGTCACATGGTACACTTCAATTAACTGTAAGAATAACTCCCATTGGTCTATGAGAAATCAACATTACAAAAAAATGAAGGGGCATCCGTGGCCGAGTGGTTAAGGTCGTTGACTTCAAACCATTTGCCCCTCACCGCTGTGGATTCGACTCCCGACAGGGACTTTGGATTCTTTCATGTGAGGAAGCTATTCAGCTAGCTGACGGAACGTCGGTGGTTCTACTCAGGTGCCCATTCGTGCCTGAAATAATGCACGGAAGGGCACCTGAGGTCTTCTTCCAACAGTAAAGCTGGAACGTCGCGATATGACCTATACTGTGTCGATGTGACGTAAAACCCAAAACAAACAAACAAACAAACAAACAAAAAAGTAAAAACACGAAAAGTGCACCAATACTTTACTGTTCCTGTCGTAACAGGATTTTCCGTATTTACTTCCGTGAAATACGGTTATTATTACAAAAATAATTGTGCAAAAAAAGGTGAATAAATTGTGCATTAAATCTTTTGTAAAATTATACTAAAATTTAGGCGAGGACGTTATTTGATACAGCCACCCGTCAACCGTAAATATTATGTATTTTCATTTTGTTAAAATAACGCATCGCGACCAGACACATGTCGCTTATATTTCAATATTTAGTTAGTTCCTTATTTGATGTGAAGTGGACTTGTTTAATTTAACAACTTGTCGTCTGCTTAACAATACGATCGAACACATGTAGTGTGATAAGACAAACGTTTGTTCAAACGGAATATTCAATTAATTAAAAGAAAATTAAAAATCCATTTTAGAACGAAGAATATGTGAAATAAAAAATTAAGCATTTTTCTTTAAAATAAAAAGAAAATATTACATATATATTAAGTTAATATAAAAGGAATATTACATTCAAATGGACATACAGTTTGATATCATAATAAAGTGCACTTTGGATATAAATCAATCGCAACACACATACGCTTCTTGAAACCTTTTCTTAGTGAAGTGGAAAAATAACTTTAAGTTAAAATTGACAGCACGTATGCTTTAACCATGTAGCATTTCTCAAATATAACCAGTATTTTAAAAGTCATTTATCGACAATTTTCTGAGGCATACCGTAAATGCCGTTATTTTCATGGCAGTTTTAGTGTAATTGTATATTTTCATTTGTTTTATTGATACACATTGACAGTCAAGCTAACTAAATACACAATAGTATATACATCAGTTTGTTTTGAAGACGAGAGAAAAAGCAAATGAAAGTGATCTATAATTAGAAGAGAACTGGACAGATTCAAGATATGGAACGGATTTATTAAAAGGGATAAAAAAAAATCGTTTAGTAAATCAACAGTAGTTGAAATTCACGTAGTTTGAGAAAATGTTACTCTCTTCAAATTTTGAACCAACGATAGAAAATGCGCCGTGTCCGCCATTTTTTGTTGAAGATGTTTACGACATCTTTATAAGTACAGCAGCAAATAATAATCTCACTGCCAATGTGACAGTAGAGGTATGGAACAAATGCATGCTTCAATATTCTTACCCTACAACCACCACTACAATAACGACGGAGGCGACAACAACAACAAGTCCCACTACACTTACATTATTATCAAAGTGTGACACTGTTTGTCTGTCCATGGCACTCATGTTTTCTGTTTGTGTTTTTTTGGGAATACTTATAACTTTGTAAGTACCGAACATTTCCTTTTTTACTTAATAACTCATCTTCAGAAGTTAAATGAATCAATTTATTTTACATCGTTTTCTGTCCATCATCTCTGTACAAGTTCAATAGCCGCCTTCATATAATTTTACGTACATGTATTTTGTATTTCAAAGAAAGAAATTCCACTTTTGTATTACTGAAAAAGGGTGTTTTTTTCTCTTTTATAGAAAATAAGTGCTTTCAATTTCAATTTGATTTTATGTCAAATATTCGGTACGAGTTTTCCAACGTTTCAAGCAACATTATTTTGTTACTTAAAGGGACTCCCCTGAGGTATTTTGACATGACTGGACTGGAAATAATTTTTTGTAGATTTAAATTTGATGTTAAATTTCAGATCATTTCATAATGTGCTTTCATCGGCTGTTTTTGGACTTTTTCTGACCTTCCCTTGATTCTTTCTTTTATCGTTTTCCTCGATGAAAATTATAGATCAATACACACGGATAAATCGACTTATTAAAAAGTTTGACATTAAAATTGCAAGTCAGTTCAGACAAAATGATAAGAATACTCGTAAGTGGCATCGATGTTGACTATTTATCCAAATCTTCATTAAGAAAAATGACATAAAATCAAATTAAATATTGGTTTACGTACCTATAAAAGTATAAAAATGGTGTTTTACAGAAGAATCGTGCTTATCGAATACAAAAGTAATCTACGATGGCTGATTTACGCCATGTTGTATATTATCGCTGTTTCGCCACTGAAAAGTACGAAAACACGAAATACGACAAAGTCCGACTATTTTCATTCTCAATGTGAAAAGGCGAAAGGACAAAAAATCAGGCATAAAACGACATATAAAAATGCGTCATTAAATAACGTAAATCAGCCACAAAAGTAATATGATGCTTGTTATAACATTTTACTGGGTTCAATGTAATGTCGTCTGTTTTACAGTAGCGTAATGTTTCACTGTAAAGCTGTTTTGTGTTGGTGTCAAGTTATAAATAGCATTTTATAAGGTGCATAGATTGCATTTGAAACACTGATTTTTTCAGTCTAACGCTTATCTGAGAACCGTCTGCTATTCAATATTTTTCTAGAAAAAAAATTGACATCTTCTGCGTAGAACGTCACGTGTTTATTTTCGCCTAAATAATAATGTTTCATTCTATGGTAATTTTGAATCCTAAATTGTAAAAAAATGTTTTTCTAAATTCATTTTCAAACTTATTATTTAAGATTTTCTTTAAGATCTAACGTATTTCAAAAAAAATGTTAATATCGTCTGCTTTTTAGTTTTTCTTGAACAGTAATTGTCGAATGCCTTTTACAGGATATATTGCAACATAAGACACCGACGCAAGAAGCACGTTATCAAACATAGTAACAGACCTAAAAGAAAGGTAAGATACCCGGAATCTCAAAGTCTTTGAACATCTGATTGTTATGAATTTATTATATTATTTATTCATAGCTTAGTGAACAAGATATGTTTGTAAAACATGTATGCCCCCTATCGGCAGCCAATTAGTCATGTGATCAGGTTATTATGCATGACTTCTGACCTAGTGAACAACAATTAATAAGGGTTATCTAGTATCTACTGGTCATGACTAGTCACAAGGTAATAATTATTGTGACCCCATAGGTTGCGTGCAGCAATTTAAGTTATTACAAATCTTACCAAATAATATATGCATACATTTTATGAATCATGTAGGCCTCATTAATGACAGCCAAGTTGTTATATTACATAAGACCTTCAAATGTGTATACCAAAAGCATTTTTAGTTAAATATAAAAATATCAACCAAGGCAACATAAGTTGTTGAGTCAGAAACCGTCATTAAGTACAAGGTCAATATGACATTGACCCCTTGACCCCAAAATCAATAGTTCCTAGGCCTAAGGGTTCTTTAGTTATCACTCGAAAACCATTTTTACCTACAAGGTCAATGTGACCTTGACCTTTGACCTCAAAATCAATACGGGTCATCTGCTGGTCATGACCAATCATCATACCAAGTTTGAAGTTTCAAGGCCTAAGCGTTCTTTAGTTATTGATCGAAAACCATTTTTACCTACAAGATCAATGTGACCTCGACCTTTGACCTCTTGACCCCAAAATCAATAGGGTTCATCTACTGGTCATGACCAATCACCATACCAAGTTTGAAGTTCCTAGGCCTAAGCGTTCTTTAGTTATTGATCGGAAACCGTTTTTACCTACAAGGTCAATGTGACCTTGGCCTTTGACCCCTTGACCCCAAAATCAATACGGGTCATCTGCTGGTCATGGCAAATCAAAATACCAAGTTTGAAGTTCCTAGGCCTAAGCGTTCTTTAGTTATTGATCGGAAACCGTTTTTACCTACAAGGTCAATGTGACCTTGACCTTTGACCCCTTGACCCCAAACTCAATAGGGGTCATCTGCTGGTCATGACCAATCGCCATACCAAGTTTGAAGTTCCTAAGCCTAAGCGTTCTTTAGTTATTGATCGGAAACCATTTTTACCTACAAGGTCAATGTGACCTTGACCTTTGACCCCTTGACCCCAAAATCAATAGGGATCATCTGCTGGTCATGTCCAATCACCGAACTAAATTTGAAGTTCCTAGGCCAAAGGGTTCTTTAGTTATCACTCGGAACCATTTGGTCTACGGACCGACAAATGCAAAGCAATATACCCCTTCTTCTTTGAGGTGGTGGCATAATAAAATAGATGCAGTAGTCACCTAACATTTTAAACTCATAATATTGTTACCTTAGGGCAGTAATGGTTAACTCCTTGTATAATTTAATAGGAGTTAACCTGTTACTGCACTAAGGTAACGATATTACATAATCTGATCTTATTTTAACATTCTCATGTTAGGGTGGTATTCCATCACCTTATAAAGGGTAAATGGCTGACCCTGCCTGATGTAATTCGATTTTCCGACTGTTCTGTTTTTAATTGATTGCGCATCGTTGAAACAGAGAATTAAAATAATTTACTTTGTGTTTTCTTTACAGATCTCTTACGGAAAATACATCCCGAAATTTCCCAAGATGAGCAAACAGGCAGATTTGAAAAAGACCCCTCTTGCTTACATTAACCCATCATTTCTTACTGAACACGAACATATGTCGCACCCCTTTGATTATTATTCAGCCCAGTACCAGCCTATTGATAACATGTATCCTTGGTATCAGCCACAAAACGAATTATTTAGTTCCGGTGGACGTCAATTTCACCCTTACGAGAAACGCAATCATCAATATTCATATATGGGCGGGAGTCCATCTCGCTCCGCTGAATTTACCAATAGGCGCTCTCGTCATCCGTCGATTGGCAGTTATGTACCAAAAATGCTCCCAGAATCTGCTGAGATATACCCATTTGGTATAGAGGTATATGATACAACTTCAAGGAATAGTGGTCTTTCTAAAATAGATATTGACTACAAAAATGCAGACAAGGGAAAAGACGCTGTAATAAGGGAACACAAATTACCAAGAATTCCATTCGAAAATGATTTTTCATCAAATTCTCCTTACAGTAGAATAGATACGCGGCAAGATCATCCTGATGAAAACAATGAAGAACACAAAAGAGATAACAGTGCATTTATTCTCGGTCTTCCAAGAATACCATTAGTCTTGGAGCAAACAGGCGGCGAATTGAGTGAAAAGCCTTCATGGCAATTAGGTTTACCTAAGCCACAAGTAGACAAAAGATATAGTAGGGAAACTAAGCATGAAGAAAATTACTTCCGTCATCCGAAGCATGGCCTTCCAAGAACTCCATTTGAAGCATCAGATATAGGAAACGGACTATATGAATTAAATAAACAAAACCGTCGGCAAGACGATAGTGTTGATCACGAAAGACAAAACATTAAAGACAATGGCAAATTGAAATCGAATGCATATTCGCTTTATCAAGGAAAGAAAGATAGCGATGTTTGTAAAGTAATTAAATCAGAGAGTCATGCAAAAGAATGTGATCCTTCAGATAAATCATTTAGTTACTCGGTACCGTACACAAAACTTTAGACTACAACTTACCAGATTAACAAACAGTTCAAAATATTCAACTGTATACAAAAACCTAGTACACAATTTATGTTATTTTATTTTGTTTAAGTATACATGTATATTAAAACTAAATTAAACAAAAAATGCATATGTTATATTTTTATTGTTCCTTTGTCATATGGCATTATGCTGCAATTATGGTGTGCATGACTGCAGTGACAACTTAAGTTTCCTGCCAAGTTTGCATCGCCCTTTCCTGTTTCCAAGACAATAGCAACCGTTATTGAAAAACGATTTAATCCACCTTGCGATATAAGCACATGGTTTTAGCTGTACCTCCGTTTTATTTTGACATAACTAATAAAAAAAAAAACGTTCAACTGTTTGCAGTTGTACTAAATACATAAGTATCAACAGTTTTTCGATGAATTTTACAAAATTTTAATAACTAACGAAAATGAAATCAACCAACTGTTTGGCCTTTTCCGTCATACTTCGATCTGTTATGAATAACATGCGACAATATTTTGAACAGAAACAAAAGTGTAAACATCCACTTTAGCACAATCGTAGCTTTGTTCTTTTTAAATTGAAAAAGACATGTTTTAAAATGAATTATTTCAAATTTATTTCTTTATAGTTAAACTGAAAATATTAAAAGTTATAGCTAAGAAGTTAAAAAGATTTTGTTTTCAAATTCAAAAGGATTGGTCACTATAAGTGAATTGGGTAGTATTTTAGCCATCAGTATATCGTATGCTGCAAAATAAACTCGTGATTACGATCCTGAAACAGAGAGTCCTTTTGATATCATTGAACACATTAAGCAAGAAGCGAACGTTCAAATTCTAAAGTAGGAAAATACACTAAGAACAGAGCAAGGAAACATTAAACTAGAAGCCCAAAGAAAAAAAAAGCTGCATGGGGTTTTTGCCCGAAAAAATTCGCAAAGGGGAAAAAATTTAAATTTCTGAAACGGAAATTTTCCCTTTTTGAAAAATTAAAGTTTCAAAAACAAAAAATTAGTAAAAAAATAACCCTAAACGTGCTGAATTAAGAAATCCCTTTTAGGGCCCAAAAAAATATATTTTGGGAATAAAAAATTTGCTGTTGTTAAATTTACTAAATTCATATTTTAATTTCTCTACAATATAAACTGAAAAAATTTGGTTTAAATTTTAAATTTTTACCCAAAAATTTTTAAAGAAAACTTAAATAATAAAAATTAACTTTAAATGAAAGAAGTTAAACTTTACATAAAACATACTAAAAATTGATACATAAAAAAAGTGTCGGTTTCCTTATTAAAAGAAGGGAAAATTTTACTTTTTTAACATTTTAGCAAAAGTGTGCAAAATTGTTAAAGCAATATGATTAAATTTTACATTTTCATAATTAAGTCTTTTTATTTTTTGATTTTAAAATTTTTTCAATGTATACATTTGAGTTTTTCCCATAAACCTATGTTTTTTGCTGTTTTTCCCTTTCATTTGGTTTCGGAATTTTAAGGGGTTTAAACTTTTGGGGAAATTTTTATAATTTAATTTTCAAAATTCAGACAAACTTTTAAAGGGAAGGGTTTTTCTGTTTAAATCGCAGTGAAAATTTTGATTTTTATACATGATTTCTGTATTTTATAAAATAATAAATACTTATTACCATAAAACCTTTTCACGTTTTTTACATATGCAACAAATAAACTTTTTAAACATGTTTTGTTTTTAGCTGGGGGCCTATGAAACAATAAAGATATTGGGATAGGATTTTATTTTTATTGTAATTTCTTTTTAAAAGCAAGGGGTTTCCAGTGAATAAGAAGTTAGAACCAATGAAAATAAACATGAGTAATTCCAGGGTAACCCATCGCTGGTAATGAAAATGCTATGTAGTATTTTTTCGGCCGTAGACTCTTTATTTTAATTTTGACTTCCGATTAATTTACTGGTTATTCACCATCCTGTGTAGGCTTTGCTGGACAGATAATTCGCGTGAAATGTCATTACCAATTGATATCAGAATATATGAAAAATTCTTAAACCAAGATAGACACGGTCAACATGTTGTTGTGTTTTTTTTAAAAAAGTAGGATAATCAACTGCCACAGCATTAGATCAACATTAAAACAACAGCCTGTATGAGATCCATATATCATTATATGTGATTGCGACATCTGAAAGAACCAATTTTGGTATATTGCGATGTTAAAATATTTTAATAGATAATTAACAAAAATAATGTTATACCAATAACTCAGCTCAGTGTGGTATTTCATTTCCATATTGTACTTAATTTTTTGTGTATGTTTCGCAAGTGTTTCCTTTTTGAAACAAGGAACATTGTACAAGGGGAAACAACTCTTCATACTGTAAGTTATCTACAAGGGTTTTGGGTTAGTGCCCTCATGTTTGCGAGCATAACAGTTCACTAGTAGGTGATGATTCATGTAAATATCGTCCTACCCGTATCTTAATGTATTTACTCCATGTCACTATACAAATATCATTTCTATGATAATCTTATCTCGAGTATATTAGTTTTCGAATTTTATGATCACATTATCAATAATATTTAAAATGGCTTTTATCTTATAAGTTGACTTAAATATCCATTATGTCCCATTTTTTTTTCTTTTGCTACACTTTTAAAGTTAAAAAAAAAACAACAAACAAACAACAAAAAACAGATATTCATCTGCCAAATACCTGATCGTGCTGCTTTTTCTCCTCTCCCCTTCCAATTAAACTAGTTGTAGTGATTAAGTATTTTGTAACTTTTAAGACAAATAATTTCACATTTGTCGCTACTTTCTTCAGGTAACAAGCATATAACATACTCAAAAACCATTATTTAAATTTTGTGAAGCTCAGATCTTATTTATAAAACGAGTAAACAAATCGTTTCTGAGGCATAAGGTGTCTTTTAAGAAAATAACGAAACTTTCAACAAGGGACAAACATGGAATTTCATTAAAGTATTTTATAAAATGTAAACAGTAGAGAAAAGTTGAATGGTTTTAGTGAATATGATGTAATTATCTCAATAAGAAATTCATTTTCATTAATGTTATATCTTTCTTATTTGATATAATAACGCAAATAGAAACGGGAATAAAATTAAACTATATTTCACTCAGTTTTTAACATTGTGACACGCCTTATATCTCACTGGAACATTTTAATATTGCAATAAAAAACAGATGAAGCAGCAAAATAGTTATACATTTTAGTAACGACTTGGTAGATACACTGTAATATTGTATGGTACAGTTTAAATCAGTTTAAAGTGATATGACATGTTAAATACAGTTGTCTCACAAAGAAAATGCTTAATATATAAAAAAATCATTGATTAATAAATTCGATTTTTTGAAATTCATCAAGATATATAAAACCCAATCAACACAAAGTATATACATGTATATTTTCATTGTATCCGTTGGCATAATCATTTCACATTACCTGAAAGAAAAATGTGAGAAGAAAAAAAATACATGTGTCTCTATAAGCAAATTAAAATTGACAAGAGTCCATTAATAGTTAAAGCTAGTTTGATCAGAATAATTTGCAATAAAGCTACTCCATTGAGGCAAGAATAATTTAAATCGTAAATCAGTCAAATGTGTTGAATCTACAAAAATTGGATGTGAAATATTTTCAAAATGCAGGGTAAAGCTAATTTGACCGCGATTTATTTGACAATCCATGTTTGATTTCGAAACGTTTTATCTAACATAATTACCAGTTTTCTAAATTTAGAACAAAATCAATACCTCTGATAACTTATTACGTATGGGTTTTTCAAAAAATTTGTAAATGTTTCGAATAAAAAGGGGATGCTTGCGGAATAGATAAAAAATGAGAAACAGTTTTTGTGAAATTTATCATTGTACACTACTATGGGGATCTTTAGATTTTCTCTATAAAGTTTGATTGTTTTTATAACTATATTGCCGTTTTTATTTACAAGGTACGGTAAATGTTTTATTTATTAAAATCTTTCTTTTTTTTTTTCAAATTTTTGATATAGATCTATGTAAATATTCTGACAAATCTTCGAATTAAGTACTATTATGAAATAAACCTTTAACTTTCTAAGTGAAAATAAACCGATGAATGTTAAGATTTATGGAAATAACTTCTATTAAAAAAGATATTTTAAGAGAAATGAGCTTTGTAAACTATCATTTTTATAGCTTTCTCCCCAATACCAAAATGTATTTAGTAAATATTGTTCACATGTTAAATGTTATGTTGAATAAGATATGTGGTTTAAACCAACTTTCATTTATCTAGATTATCAAGCTGAATGTGAGAGGCTGGTGGCTGGCTGTCGAATCTAGCCTCGTGGGCCGTGGGCGGTGGTTAGATATAGGGGCGGGAGAGCAGGAGGTTCAAGTGGGTACGTAATGCCGAACAGTTTATTGAAACGCTGGGCCATATAGTGGCATCAGTCACATAGAAAACAAAATATACTTGTTATGGCAAATGTAAATCAAAAACAAAAGTGTTTCATTATGAAAATAAGCTTAGCTATCAGTTACTTAATGATGACTATTTCTATAGAATAGTCTCTGTTATTTGGGGAACAACTTATACCCTGCCCTGGTTATGACGTAGGTACTGTATCTACGTCATATCCTTTTAACGCTGGCGTCGAATATTGTAACAAGGAAGAAGAAATGAGTTGTTGAAAAAAATGGAAAAAATCGCTGATCAAAACAGCAATCGATAGTAATATCTTCTAGATATGAATCGATAAGACGTCGGTGATTTTCTGTGTGCCCTAAAAGCAGCAATTGTGTTGATATTAATTTCCACGATTGAAGCGGATTTTGTTCTTGATGTCTTTGGTGGGAACATGGAACACTGAATCAAGCAGGATATTTATATTGGACAGAGAATTTTTTTATTCAATTTCAGATTTAATTTCAACAGATTTTTTTGTGAAACATTTTTAAATTTTAAAATTATTTAAAATTATTTTTGTAAAATTGTACTTTGCCCTAGCTTTATGCGGGAACTCCCTTGTCGAAAATTTGGGAAAATTTTTTATTATGACGACCCAATGGATCTACCCCTCAACCAAACGGCTTTTTTCATTTAGCTTTTCCCTGTTTTTAAAGCTATAATTTTTAAAAATCTTTTCGGGGTGTTTTAAATTTTACTGAGGGTAACAA